ACTCCAGACCCTGCTTTCCTGGGGATCATCTGCAGTGGCTGCAGAACAGTAAGGATTGCTGCCAGTTTTTTCTTCTGTTATCTTTGTCCCAGAAGGATACTTTCCAGATGTCAGCCTGAGCTCTCCTTTATGAGGTGTCTCTTTGGATATATGGGGATCAGGGAACTGCTTGAGGAGACAGTGTGTTCCTTATAGGAGCTCAAGTGCTGAGCTGTGGGCTTCATTGTTCTATTCAGAGCTGCTGTGCAGGTATGTTTAAGTCTGCTGCAGTGGAACTCATAACCGCCTTTTTTCCCCAGGTCCTCTGTCCTGGGAAGGTGGGGCTTTATTTATAAGTTCCTGACATGCTGCTGCCTTTTTTCAGGGATGCTGTGCCCAGCGAGGAGGTAGGCTAGTCACAGTCTACCAGCAGAGGTGTTGCTGAGCTTCCGTGTGCTCTGCCCAGCTGCTGTGTGAACTTCCTTGCAGTTTTCTTTATAGAGGTATAGTTAGAACTGCCTCGGTAAGGGTGGTCTGCCTCAGTAATGGTGGACTGTCTCTGTAATGGCAGACTGCCTTGGTAATGGCAGACTACTTCATTAATGGCAGACTGCCTCAGTAATGGCCAACACCCTTCCCCTCACAGAGCTGTGTTTGCTGTGAAACTCTCAATCCAGAGTGTTTCAGATTGCTGGTCTTTGTGGGATGGGACCCACTGAGCCAGATCACCTTGCTCCCTGTTTCAGTTCCCTTTTTTCAGTTGAATGGGTGACTGTCTCCCAGGCATTCCAGGTGCCAGTTGAAACAGTGCCCATATTTGTGTGAGTTTTTATGTGGAGACCCACTGCGCTGGCTGAAACAGCCATGCTGGAGATTCGTGGTGCTTTTCCGCCTGGGAATCTCCTGGTCTGTGGGCAGTAAAAATTCATTTGGAAATGTGGTGATCACTCACCCTCTATGATGTTCTCACTGGGAACTGCACTCCAGAGCTGTTCCTGTTCAGTTATGTTGGCTCATCCAACTGTGATTTTTTTTAAAAAAATGTTGAAAGAACTCTTTCATACTTGAAAAGGTTGGAAAAACATTTGTCTAGAGCAGTGGTATCCAAACTCAAGAGGCAGCTCCTTTATCACTAAAAGAAACTTGAGCAAACAATTACTCTTTATACGTGTATTTTAAATAGATTGTGTACAACAGTATCGATGTTATGTAATTTTATAAATAGTAATAAAAATAGAAAAAGACTTCAGATTAAAAAAAAATAGAGACATTTTGATTTCCTCACCACACTCTTATGGCATCTTGCATACCTGTAAGAGTTCATGCACTCCACTTTGGAGATCAGAGTGGATTCTGGGAAGGTGAAAGAAGTGATTTTTCCCTTTAGGGCTTAAAATATAATAAATTGTTTTAAATTAATATCCTTGTTTAGTTTGCTTAAGCATCATTAAGCTCAGCTTTTCTATCAGAAGGTCCACAGTGTGGGGCCTAGTCGTCTCAAAGCAGGGAACTGTATGATTAGTTAGCTGCTGAGCTGACAGGGAAAGTATTCCTCCTGGGAATTGCACAACCAGCATGGGATACTTCGGCAGGGAGGACACAGGCTTGCAAAGCCTCAGGGACTGCCTCAGAACAACTTTCTTGAGTGGTAGTTGTTTTATTTGCCATTCACAAACCCAGAAGGAGTGTCTGCCAATTTGGGGTGGTTTTCAGTAGCTCCTCCAGTTTCACCTTTTTTCTTCCTAAGAACTGTCTGAATTTGGTTTTCACAGCCCTTAATGACACACTCCCAATGGCCCACCTACTTGTGGAAAATGACCTGTTTGATCAAAACAGTCTCAATTTTCATCTTTATTTTCTTGGTCTAAAGTGGCAATCTCGGCTTCCAGTATCTGAAGCAGAGTTTTCTGTGAGCTAAGTAGTGATGCTGCTGTCTTCCTCGAGTCCTGTGAAGACTCTCTGTTACCTCACAGATCAAATTCAACCTCCTCATCTTGGCATCTGCTATGGTCCGAGCGTGTCCACTCCAAAGTTCAGGTGCTGCCAATGTGATAGCATTAAGAGTTGGGGCCTTTCAGAGGTGATTAGGCTGTGAGGGCTCCTCCCACATCAATGGGATTAAGGCCCTTACAAAAGCTGCTTTTTATGGTGTATGGTCCTTATTCTCTTCCACTTTTCATCATATGTGGGACACTGCAAGAGGTCCCTCGCAAGAAGCTGGTGTCTTCATCTTACACTTTTCAGCCTCCAGAACTGTGAGAAATTTCTGTTCTTTATAAATTACCTGGTCTCAGGTGTTCTGTTATAACAGCACATACAAATTAAGACATCATCCAAGACTTTTTACATATTCAGTGCATAGCTTTTATGTTTTTCAGTTCAGAGTTTCCCTTCAGTCATCTTTCTTCCTTCCCTAACAATCCTATATCCACCCAACTTCATCCTCCAGTGTAGCACACACACTTGCTTTTTCTGTCTTCATGGCCTCAAGCTATTTAATCCAAGTGGAAATCCCTCCTTGTATCAGTGAAAAACCCTATCCACTCTTGAAAAACAAGATGAGTCCTGCTTCTTCTTTGAAGATTTCACTGTGTGTTTCTTCAAGTGTGGTCCTCATACAACCTCACATTATTACCAAGATTAGCTTTTACAAATGAGAATCCTTGGTTACCACCTGAAACATGGTTGCTTGTTGTAAATGTGTATTCTTGGTTCCTACCCCAGAACTTGTGAGCTGTGACTACTGGAAGTGTGGTACAGGAATCTGCATTTTAACAGGGTGCCTATAATGCACAGTGCAATTTGAAGGTCACTCTTAACTTAGGGCACAGCCCTCTCTTTCACCAAAGTCCATTTTTCTCTTCAGTTGAGACCTATAGAACTGATATTTCTGAGTGTTCTGCAGAGACTTCTTGACTCTGGATCACCTTTATTTATTTTTATTTTTGCAGTTTTTAATGAAAGGTGTACATAGGGGTACTTTGTCCTGCATCTTCTCAAATGTTTCTTTCTTATATCTACCATTTTCCATACCTGCTAAGTAAGATTTGGCTTTCCACTCAAGCATCTTTTCTTTTTTTCCAGTTTTAGCCTAGTGATAACTGCCTTGGTGGGGTCAATGCCCACGTGGATAGTTGTGCCGTCAGCCTTTTCCTGCTGTACCCTGTCAGTATTGATGCCATATTTCTTCTGGTAAACGTGGATAACTGTGCCAGTTTGCTGACCTTTATAGTGTCTTTGCACCATCTGAACTTCATCATCCTTTTGAGGGGCATGGATCAAGCATTGTACTTTTGTCTCAGCTCTTTCGAAAGAGGGGAAGACATAATCTTGTGAATTTGAGAAGGTGCATTTGAAATTGTTTTTATGGTTCTTGCTTTGGTCAGAAGTCACAAAAGGATTGAACTTCATTCTGACCACTGCTGCTTAGACAATGGCTGTGAAAGGGAAAAGGAACCTGGGTCACCTTTAGAACTCCCAGGGAAGGCTTTGTTCCCTTTCATTGCTGTAACTCATTCAGGAGGTCCTTTGAACATAGTTCTAGATTCCTGGACTCCACCCAGGGGCCCAGGATTAAAATTAGAAATTCTTGGACTCCACTTCTAGAGATTCCCCCCACTCAGGAGGTCTTAGGTGGGGCCCAGGAATCTAGAACTTAGTTCTAAGGACCCAAGAACTTGTTCCCTTTCATTACTGTAACTCATTCAGGAGGTGCACTTAGAATACATGAGGGCTGCAGGTATCAAAGACAAACTTTTAAATGTATCCTTATTGCCATTGACTTGCACCTATTCAGTGAAACTAGGCTTCAGGAGCCAAAGGGAACTTGCTGAGCAGGACTGGGGCAGGGGGCATGAAGTGAGGATTTGGGGCCTGGTGGCCCACTTGGCAGGGGTGAATATGTTTACCAGTCCCTAGGTGCCTACATAGAGAAGACTGAAAGTGAACCCTACCTGTTGTTTTCAGTCTTCCCAGGTCTACCTCTGTTGACTGGACAAATAGCAGCTCATTTAAGTGCCTAGGAATACCAGCCTTTAGTTAGAAAGCAAGGGGAAAAAGAAATGAGATGTGGCTGGAAAGGGGGCTGTCCCTTCACCCTTCATGCAATGCATATTTGAGGGGAACCTGGTGCTAAATCATTAGATGACCTGCCTCTGGCTTAGGGTTTTGTATGTAGCAGAGCAGCTCCCTCACCGCAGTCTATCTAAACTCAGCCCTTGACACAAGGGTTTGTATTTGTTAATCTAAAAAATCAAAAAAACAAAAAAATGAAAAGGAAAAGGAAAGAAAACAAGGGGGAAAACCCCGCCAGTTCTGTCTAGCTGGGGTCTGGCCTTGCCTTTGTGTTCTTAGTTTGTGACCTCACTGCATTTAGCAATTGCATTCTTTTTATGGGTGTTATGTGACCAATTAATATCACCAGATTCATCTTAGATTGAAGGAAAAAATCCCCAGATGGAAGTAATTGCATTCATAAGCCCTTGTATTTATAGAATGCCTTTTCTGAAAGCTCAACGCACAGCACTCTATGGCATAACCTCCTTTGTTCCTGGACTATCTCCATGTGTTTGGTAAGGGCAGCTTCTGTAATTATTATTGTTGTTCAACAATTGGAGGATGGAGAAGCTTTGTGGGTTGAAAAGGTCACATGGCATTAGTGGCAGAATCAGGAATAGGATACTTACCTTCAATTCCTGTCTCTATCTTGAGTTCCAAACTGAGGTCTGAAAGTTAATGTTGAGAGGGTTGAATAAGAACCAGTTGTGGTACAAATTAAAATTAGATTCCTGGACCCCACTTCTCTAGAGATTCCCCACTCAATAGGTCTTGGGTGGGGCCCAGGAATCTATATTCTTTACAAGCATTTCAGATAATTCTGATTCACAGTCAAATTTAGGGATCAATACTATAGACCATATGACAACCGCACTGCCCACTTTATCCCCTCCCAGGAATGTTTTTGACTGAAGCATGCCTTTTTAATGTCTGTCTTCTTGCTACCCACCCTTTAACTCCCCTAGGCCTCCCAGTTCAGGCCAAGAAACATGCTGCATCCGCTAAGAGTACACTGTTGACCTGGAAGGCAAATACGACCTCAAATAAGGAGAAAGAGGAAATCCTGGAAGCTCTGGTCATGCTGTACTACACTCTGGGGGTGGCCTGGCTCCTACAGAACCGATATCCTTCCCTTCCCAGTTGAATTTAGTGTTTGGGGCCACAGGCCACACATGCCAGATGGGTCATTTCATACAAAAGGGTGGGAGATGGAACCAAGGCCTTGTAGATCTATTCCAACATCCAGGCCCTCCACAGCCCTCTCCTCTCCATCTTAAAGGGTGTGTATTCTCTTCCTGTGTCTGTTCATATAAGCTCTGTATTGAGCCATGGAAGGGGTTTCATTAGTGACACATCACTCAGTCGAAGATTTTCTGAGTCTGTTCTGCTCTTCATAGAGCACACAAGAAAATCAGTATTAGCAAAGAGGATGAGGATGTGGTGGTGGTGTAGGGATGGAGAGAATGGGTGGTAATTTAAAGCACAATTTGGCAAAGTAGGCCACACATTTTAATCCCCTGGGGAGCTTTAAGAATTTCTGCTATCTGTTCCTACTTTAAAGATTTTGACTAAGTAGCTCTGAGGCACATCTGTTCACTGAAATTTTTTAAAGCTCTCCAGTGATTATAATGTGTAACCCAAAACCACTGATTAAGCTGACTCTTGATCATTTTAGTTTTTTGAAATGCTCTTGGGGATACTGCCCATGAGGCTGAGGCCAAGCAAAGTAGACCAAACAAGTAGTTCTCCAAATTCCCAGAAGGGGGCTGTTATAGGTGCCTTTCCTCAAAACTTGGGATTTTGACAACCTTTTGTACCATCTCCACTGGAAAGATGTTAAGGGCATCTGATGCTCACAAATCACCATGAACACTCTTTGAACCCATGTGTCCCCAGTCTCCTCTCTACACATCCCCCTCTCTACTTTTTTGGTCCTAATGCTCAACCTGTAAAATCCAATAGGTGGCCTTCTTCTGTAATACCCATAGCAGGGGACTATTGAAAATGTGGGAAATAGAAGAATGTTTGGGAATTAAGGGGGTTTTTGCTTTTCTGCTGTTTGCTTCTGGCCAAAAACCTGCTTTGCTTGGACTTTCTAAATGACCCAGAAAGTTCCTTTCAGCATAATTAGTTCCTCTCTTTTACCATTCACAGGAACCAGCTTGGGAAGAATGAATAACTATTGTCGCACAGTAGATGCCTCTAAAGGAAATCGAGTGTAATTTACAGTTTCCGTTCATTCCTGCAAACAGTCCCTACCTACTCTAGTCTTGGATTCAGGCAACCACCACAGGAAACCCAAGCCCCTGTTCCTTTTCTAAAGCATTCTTCCTTCCTAACAGCATAATACATGGAAAATAGAGAACATAGTTAAGTAGCCATTTTTAATATTGCTTCATTTTTCCAAGAGCCCGTTTTGTTTCCTTATCACTCACCCCTGTGCAGTGGCAGTTAGTTTGAGTGCTTGGCATTTTCCTTGACTGTTTCACTGGCAGAGAGGCCTATTTCAATCTGCAGAAAGCAGAGAGAAACATGAAGGAGCTGAAAGAATTACGTAAAGGAGGTGTTTGTGAATTAGAAGTCTCTGAGAAAGACCTAACACTTGCTTTGGGCAGGTAAGATCTGGGCTTGGAGAAGCTGAGGCTTTTATGAATGAGGCCTGGAATTACGTGATATAAGGGAGAAAAATATTTAGAGCAAAAAAACCCCAGAAACTCAAATAATAGAAGAGGCTCATATTTACCAAACACATACACTGTGCTTTTTGTGTACTGTCCCTTTTCATCCTCACAACAGCCATTGAGGTAGTTGGTATGATTATTATTTTATTGAAGGGGGATCAAGGCAACTGAAGCCGAGGTTAAACGAATTGTCCAAGACAGCATAGCTTGTAAGTGTTGGATCCATGATCTGGACTCATTAATTCTTAGTCTTCCTTATAAGTGCCTCTCAAACTTACTCTAAGATTATGTTTTTCTCTGAATTGCCACCGATTTTTGTCACTACATGTGACATTTTAGATGAAAAAACACGTAATGAAGACAATTAACTGGAAGCTGTGAAAGCTACACACAGCATGTACATTTTTAAGGAAAGTTCTGTTCCATATGAAAACAAAGTTCATGGAATTTGTTTAAGCCAGAACAAGATTTAACTGTCTTGCTGTTGAGTTAGGGATCCTCTGAGAATCAGAATATTTAGAAATGAATGTGGGCCAATCAGATTATTAGAAGAAAAACAATAAAGAGTTTACTGTTCCCTAGATTTTTCATATATCTCTACATCCTTGAAAGCAATCTGTTTCCAAAACTGTAAGCACTTGGCATGGTACGGTATGTGACTGAATGGTAGGTAAATGAAATACATGCGTCATGTCTGCCTCCTCTAAACAACCATGAATCTAGAAGTCAAATGGGAAATGGGGAGATGCTGGAATGTCCAGACCTAAATCAAACTATGACTTAAGTCCATAGGGCCATAAATTAGAGTCTGGTGAATGTCTACTCCTGTCACATAGGGCCTAAAGTTTCTTCTGCCTTATGTGAAAGATAGCCTTATTCCTTTTTCAGAAAAACTCTGGTGTTCATTTTATTCATCCACTCTCCAGTATTTATTGAGTACCTCTTTTATGCATATCCTGTTCTAAGCGTTGGAGCGCCTGCTAAGTATAACTACATACTAGACACTGTTCTAAGTGCTTTACATAATTATTTCACTCAGTCGTCACCACAGCTGATAAGGATATGTATTTCTATTATTTTCATTTATATAGCTTTTCACTCTCTCACTCAGGCTGGAGTGCAGGGTGCAATCAGAACTCACTGAAACCTTGAACTCCTGGATTCAACCTCCTCAGCAGCAGAGACTATAGGCAGATGCCACCACACCTGACTCACACATATATTTTTAATTCAACTTAGGAATACAAAGATTGGAGTGAGGAAGAAGGAATGTTGATTGTATATCTGCTATATGTTAAGTGATTTTACACTTAATATTATTCTTCACAGCAGCCTTGCAATATAGATATACTCAACTGCTTTATTTAGAAGGAAATGTAAACTTGTAGAGTGTGCTAAAGCTAATAACTACTAGAACCAGCTTTGAACTATCCATGCTCTCATTTTGCCTTGCTGCCTCTGGAAAAATAAACCTCAAAGAGATACTGTTTTATCCTCATTTTAAAAAATTATATTTCCAACTTTGTTGTGGAAAATTTGAAAATACAGACAGGTACGAAGAATTAAAAAGCCAATTGTGATTCCACCAAGTGGACATACTGCTATGAACATTTTGGACAGATATATATGGATATCGATAACTATTTCTTTATGTGGATCACATTTGAAGCACGGTTTTATATCTTTTTCCTCAGCATATTTTTAATGTCTCCCCATATCTGTCCAAAAAGAAAACATGACTTTTAATGTCTCTGAAGTATTTTATTGTATGGTACAGTATAATTTATGGAATATTTACATTTTTTTTTCTATCCTCTCTCATTTTTAACTGAGGAGGAATAGGCCAAATTAAATTGAACAAAACAAAGCAAAAACTTTCTTCGGCCTGAAAGAGACGGAACCAGCGGTTAATAAAATTTTATTTTGATTTTAGAAAGTCTATGTGGGTAAATTATCCCATCTTGTGAATTCCGGAAAGCCATTTTTTTCATTTGCTTTTTAAAAAAATTAGACAATAGCACAACATAGTAATGGGTTTAATGAGTGGTCGTCAATGGAGTCTGATGGGTAAAATGCAGGATAATTGGAGTTTATTTACAGCAAGGCTGGAGTTTTGAGCCAGCTACAAAGATGATGGGCTTGTGAAGGCCAAATTCTTTAATTCTTGGAATCGTTTCCTTTTGTGTCTGTAAAGTAAGTGGCCTCTCGGTGACTTTCTACTTTAATCCCTTTTCTTGCAGAGCCTCCTTGGCCATCCACAGGCTGAACCTAGCTCTGGCATACTTTGGAAAGGCAATTGGCGATGTGATTGCTGCCAAGAGTGATAGGACGTCAGATCTGATCAGCCTGTATGAGGAAACTGCTCAGATCGAGCAGCTGAGGAAGAACCACAACCAGGCCATCCAGTACCTGCAGCAGGTCAGTGGGTTGGCCGGAGCCCAGGCTAGGTCGACTTGTTTGGCCCCAGGCCTGGTTCTCAGGGGCAGGGAAACATGGGCTTCTCAGAAGAACAAGGAGTATAATTGATTCTGTTTTAACCCTGACTTTCCTCCGGATCCACCTAAGAGCCTTTGATCAAACCTTAAATGACCAGGGCAGAGAACACTGACTCAGGTGGGTGAAAGTGCTGTGTCATTTGATATGCAGACAGCACTTCCCCTTCCCAGGTTCCCACTCTCCTGTTGGTGCCAGGAAAAGAAGCAAAGTGTGAGTCTCCTCCAAGGAAAAAAGACAGAGGGGCAGCCGAACTTAAATCTTCAGCAAAAACAAAGGACCTTTTAAATGAAAATCATGGTATTGTAGGGTAATGCAGTCATTTATACTTTAAACCCGTCTAGTTGATTATATTTCCAAATCTAAGGTTAAACTAACAAAGGGTGTTTCACTTGGAGGTAACTAACTTGGCAAATGCCCTGGGGAAAACAAAATAAAACATTGGAAGGAATGTTGAGTCTATCATATGGTAACAGTTTAGGGTACTTTTATGTATCATGTACTTGAAGCTGCTAAATTCACCTTTTCTCTCTTCCAAAGGAGAAGGCTGCCCATGGCTTCAAGTATCTCCCACAGTGACAAACAGATCAAAATACTGGATATCCTGTATCATAGAAAAGGTGCAGTGCAATCTAACAGTATACATGAAAACACATTCTGAAGAAAAGTCATTGCAAACAATCTGACAATCCATCATTATAAACATCACACAGTGGAGAGATGTCAGAGAATGCTGCCCTGAAGGCAGGGAGTCCACTGCTTACAGAGAAAGCCAGTCTGGTTTTGTGTTCCAGACTTTCTTAAAGCAGTGGTCAGATCAGAATGAATAAAACAATAAATATCAGTGTTTCCCAAAAGATAAGAGCTAAAATTCATGGAATGCTTTTTCTAAGTGCCCTAGAGGATATATTGATTCATTTAATTTGTACAATAGCTCTATAAAGTAGATACCATTATTGTTTTATCTCATTTTAAGGATGAGAAAACAGAAGCACAAAGAGTTATAGTTAACTCAGCTGACATTGTATAGCTAACAAATAGTAAAGCAGGGATTTGAACTCCAAATTCGACCCTACAGCCTGTACTTACAGCAACTCTGCTCTGTGTCTTGGCTCCAAAGTCTTCTGTGATCATCCCTTCAGCTCTTTGACACACCTCACAGTATTCAGCCTGTAAAATATTAAGCACATATGGTTCTTTTGTTGCTGGTGGATGTGGACTCAAATGTTTCTTTCTCTTTTCTAAGTGTTACTCCTTCCATTTTAGCACAGATAGTATAAAATCTAACACTTTTTTAGTGCTTACTATATGCTGGGTGGTTTTCTAACCACTTTACATATATTAATTTATTTAATGTTTACAACAACTTTTTGTGGCAAATACGATTCTCATTATCCGTGATTTACATTTCCAGGACTGGCTTCAAGACTGGAGTTCAGTCCAGTGAGACTGAGCTAAGGTTATGACTTTATTTTGGTATGAAATCTAATAAAAATAATACTAGCTAACATTTATTGAGGACTTACCATGTGATGGGTACCATGCCCTGTTGTTTGCATATACCATGTCACTTAGTCTTTCCCAAACCCTAATCAGTGGCAATTATATATTCCTTCTACAGATGAAAATGAAATTACTTGCTTAAGACTCCAAGCTAGAAAGTGGCAGAGCTGGGACTCAAACTCACTTCTCATCTGAGTCTACAGTGAACTCTGTCATTTGGTTGCTTAACTTGTCATGACTTTCTTTATTCCAGGCTCATTCTATCTGTGTTTCTTTGTTCACTGAAGTCAGCCCCAAAACTGCAGAAATGAGTGCATTACTGGCCAAAGCTTATGCCATGTCTGGAGAGGCCCAGCACAGGGGTAGGTAAAAGAGATAGCCTTGAAGTTATCATTTTTCAGTCAAATGAGGAAAGCACAATGGCATATAGTCTAAGATTCTAATCAGCTATTTATTCCTGTAATGGAAAGATTAGGCTGGTCACAGTCTCATACAAAATCAATTACACATTAATTTAGGCCTGATACTATACCCTCACATTTGTTGGAATGTCAGAAACAAATAAATCATCTGATTTCTATATCCTTTATTTATTTTGAATCTCAGCAAGATTCGCCTTCCTAACTAGTAGAGATCATACACACTAAGAATGTGGCCTGTGCAGTATTAGTTGATGAGGAAATTCAGTGATAAATGGCTCCCTGCCTCCTCCTCCACTTTCAGTCTCCTTGACTCTTTTACTCTGACTTACAAGAGAGAATGTTTGTTAGCAGAATTTTCTTGACCCACATTCAATAGTTAGATATTATGGGTTCCAGAGAAAACCAACTGATTAATTCATGCTTCAACAATAGTTCTTTGTCTGGCAAGGTCATCTTTTTGAAAGTGGGTGGCTTTGGGAGAGACACAAATGAACCAGCGAGGGAGGACAATGTATCATTCTCTGCTGGCTTGATCAGATTAATGGACACTGATGGATTCAATGGCCTGTCAAGAGGAATTTAGGCCCCATGAAGAATGTAACTTGATCATTTAAAAAAATGTCTATTTTCTCTGCTTATAAATGTAACCTTTTTGTGTATGTTATTTTCCAGTTAGAGAGAAGGATAGAATTATAGAGAAAGCTTTGCATCCTACTTTTTTCAATGCTTGTATTCCCCATGTCATTAAATAAACTTTTTTTTCAATTTGCAGAAGTTTTGATCTTTTAATTACTTTCTTAAGCATAAATATTCATTGAAGACTTCCTGATTCTTTGTTTTTCAGCTAGTCATTTTTCTCCTTTTAAGATTTCCTCATCTATATTCACAGTATATATCTCCATATATACTTGAGCTTTTTAAAAGTAGTCTTGTGGTCATAAGAAATTTAATCTGTGAATATATACAAATTTTAGCTTTTTTAAAAAACATTTATAGAGTTGAGAGATTTCAAACCCGCCTTATTCTTTTCTTATTTACTAATTTTTAATTTTAAAAATATAGAGTTTTTTATTATCTCATTCACTAAATTAAATTCCAGATGGATTAACATTTTATGCATCAAAACTAAAAAATGTAAATTAACTAGAAGAAACTATAATGCTGGAATAAAATTGCTAAAATATCTTTAAAAATTGGAGGAAAGAACTTTTCTAAGCACACAAAGACATACCATAAAAGAATAGTTTGACAGATTTAATTATAAAAATGTCTAACATTTTTATTTGTCACAAAGTACCGTAAGTAAAATTAAAAACAATGTAGTCAATATGAACAGATAACCTGGATAGACCTGTAACTATTTCTTTTTAATGAATTTGTAGTTAATCTTTTAAGAAAGAAATCTCCAGGCCCAGATCATTTCACCAGGGAATTCTATCTAACATCTAAAGAAGGAATAATAACCAATTCTACATAATCTCTCTCAGAAAATAGAAGAGGAGAAAACACTTTCTAATTTTATGAGGCCAACACGACCTGATATCAAAACTCTGCAAAAACATTACAAGAAACAAAAAAAAGACAACTACAGATCAAGACCTTTCATGTGCGTAGTTAAAAAAAAAGCAACAAAATATATAGCAATGTATAAATAACACCATGGCCAAATGATGTCCAGCGTGTTTAGGGTGGTATGGTCACAGACTATCGTGATCAAGTGAAGGTTTTTTTGAGGATGTTACACAGGTTTAATATTCAAATCTCAGTCAGTGTACCTCTACCATATTAACAGTTCAGTCATAGAAAGCACATTATTTTATCAGTTGTTGCAGAAAATGCATCTGACAATATTTAACATCTATTCATGATGGAAGGGAACTTCCTTAATCTGATAAAAGGCATATACAAAAACCCTACAACTAATTTCATGCTTAGTGGTGACTATTTTACCCCATAAGATTGAGAACAAGGCAAGGATGTTCACTCTCACTACTCCTATTCAGCATAGTACTAGAAGTCCAGCAAATGCAAGACAGCAAGAAAAATAAAATGGTCCCTATTTGCTGTCAAAATGATTGTCTCTGAAGAACATGCCAAATAATCTACAAAAATCCTAGTACTAATATGTTTAAGTTTAGCAAGATCACAGGATACAAGGTCAATGCACAAAACTTAATTGTATTTCTACATAGTAGCAATGAACAACTGGAAACAAAAATGTTTAAAAATATTACAGTAGCCCCATCCCTGCACATGAAATATTTAGGTATAAATTTATCAAAATATGTACAGTATTTGTATGCTGAAAACTACAAAACTAAATTAAAGATGACCTAAATAAATAGACATGCTATATATGGACTGGAAGACGATATAGTAAAGATATCAGTCTTCCAAGATTGATCTGTGGATTTAACATAATTACAATCAAAATCCCAACAGAAGCATTTGTAAAAATAGACAATATGACTTTAAAATTTGTATGGAAAAGCAAAGAAATTAGGATAGCTAAAATGGATTTGGAAAAGCATACAGTTGGAGGAATCATAGCACCTGATTTTAAGATTTACTATAAAGCACTAATCAAGAGAATCGTGAAAGGACAGACACAGAGATCAGAGTCATCAGAAAACAGTGGAGTACAGAAATAGACCCGTATAATTACGACCAATTAATTTTTGATAAATGTGCAAAAGTAATTCAATATGGAAAGGATAGTCTTTACAACAAATGATATTGGAATAACTGGATACCACATGCCAAAAAAAAAAATTGGACTCTTACTAATGCCACACACTAACATTAATAATGGATCACTGTCCTAAATGTAAGAGCTAACATTTATATTTATGCAGAAAAAAATAGGTTTTAAAAAAGTATTAAGCCCTGGATAAAAAATAAATACAGAGGCCAAGGTGAGAAGATCACTTGAAGCCAGGAATTTAGACCAGCTTGGGCAACATAGTGAGAGTTCATCTCTACCAAGAAAAAAAAATAGCTGAGTGTGGTAGCACATACCTACAGTCCTAGCTACTCAGGAAGCTGAGACGGGAGGACTGCTTGAGCCAGGGGTTGGAGTCTGCAATGAACTATGAGTATGCCACTGCACTCTAACCTGGACAACACAGTAAGACCCTGTCTCTAAAAATATTAAATAAGGACAGAATTCAAAAGCGAAGTTACTCTTTTTGTCTACCAAATTGTCAAAATTTTAAAAAATGCTAACACCCCTGTAATCCCAGCACTTTGGGAGGCCGAGGCGGGTGGATCACGAAGTCAAGGTATTGAGACCATCCTGGTCAACATGGTGAAACCCTGTCTCTACTAAAGATACAAAAAATTGCCTGGGCATGGTGGCGTGTGCCTGTAATCCCAGCTACTCAGGACGCTGAGGCAGGAGAATTGCCTGAACCCAGGAGGCGGAGGTTGCAGTGAGCTGAGATCGCGCCATTGCACTCCAGCCTGGGTAACAAGAGCGAAACTCCGTCTCAAAAAAATAAATAAATAAAAAAAATTAAAAATAAATTTAAAAATGCTAACACCAGGATTAATAAGAACATTTGATAAAAACTCTGGAGAGCAATTTGGCAGGATGTCACACATCTTAAAATGATATGTATCTTTAAAATTTCACTCATCCTATGTGAACATTTTTAAAATTTAAAAATATATAGCAGTTGGCAAATTATGAGTAAATGGGTCTGTTTATTCATAACTAGTAAGAGTGAGTGTAAATTGATATGAAATTTGGAGACTAAATTGATAATGTCTAGTAAAGTTTAAAAGGAAACATGTGAATAAAGATGTTCACTGTATCACTGTTTGTAATTGTAAAAAAAACCTAAATATGTATCGATAAGTAAAAGGAAAATTTGATGTCTTCATATGTAGTGAATACTATATGGAATTTTGTAGTTGTTAAAAGGACCGGACTAGATTTGTAGATATCAAGGTTAATTTTTAAAAAGGATTAAGGAAAAACTGAGTGGCATTTTTAGGACACACAAAATAATACTATTGTTTATAGTTATATTGGGTAAACATTAAACTACAAAGTAAGATTTCATCAAAATGTAAAAATGTAAAGAGAGACTATGGCATTGTGAAGAGGTCTGTGAATCATATTCACACATACAGTCACACAAACTGAATCCAATGGTCGTAAACAACTCTTTGATAGTGCTGGAAGTAAATAAAGAGAAAAAAATTGAAAAGCATTTATTTTGAAAAAACTGCTAGAGCTTTGAGTAAAGAGAAAATCTGTGGCCCTCCTGCCTAGGGCTGCTTCCATCCACTGCCCCGGGTCAATCCATGAGAATCGCAATTTTATTGGCATGGGATACACAAGAGAACTGGCAGCTTTGCTGGCATTGGAGAAAGACTTAATTTGATGAAAGGAATAAAAACCCACAGGTTTATCAGATAAAGGGGACAAACTCTGAAGGACATACAAAGAGGAAAGCCTGCATGTTGACTCTAGCCTGAAGTTGCTGTTCTGGTTGGTGTGAGTGGCATCAGAAATTTTAATGGGGAGACCACAAAAGGGCTAAATGAGCTCCCCACACATCCCTGGATAGCCACAAAACTACATACATGTGCAGGGGATATTTGAGAGCCTAATAAAGAAGACTTGAAATTTGCAAGAGCTTGGAATATATTTTCATCTACATACAGATCAATTGACAGGATGGACAACATATAGCCTGAAGGTAGTTAAGTATAATTTCTGCCCAAATCAGTGGGTCAACACTAAGCTATGCAGACATAGGAGTGAACCCTAGGAATCCAGATTAAAAATAATAAGCACTAAAATCTGAGCAAAAACTTCTGGTTTCTGGTCTGGTATATCAGGAGTTTGGAAGTAATCACTGCATCCAAACAACAAGTAAAAAGCAAATTGAAAAATTAACTCCTCCTAGATCTGTCACTGAGAACTGAGG